ACTTGTGCCCATTACTCCTTGTTATGCCAGCGGGCGCTAGGGGAAACAGCGTCTCCCCCAAACCCTTCTGGTCCCCCCTAGTGAGTCTATAGACAGTCACCAGGTCCCCCCTCAGCCTTCTCTTGTGGAGGCTGAATAGGTTCAGGTCCCGCAGTCTCTCACTGTAGGGTCTGCCCTGTTGTCCCCTGATCATGCGGGTGGCCCTCCTCCATTGGCTAGAGGCAAATGGGACTAGGGGACATCTGAACTCCAAGATCTCTGGGCTTGGGGCTTACACATAGGTTGGGGGTGCCTGCAGCACGTTTACACTGTTTGTCCCTGTCTTGTTTCACCAGAAAGATACAGACCATGACTTTGTGGGAGATGTCTGTGACACCAACCAGGACCAGTAAGTACTAGCTGCACAGCTGCTGGTTTAGGCTGCGTGGAGTGAGAGGCTCAGATATGCTCGCTACCTAGCAACAGCTGCACTTAACGATGCTGCCGACTTTTGCCTTGCACCAGGGGCTTTAAAACCTATGCTGGGGCAAGTTACAAGGTGAGGTTCAGGGTGGGCAAAACCACCACCTGCTGCGTGCTGTCTTGGGGGGATGCAGAGCAAGGGGGCAGGGAAGTACAGCATGCTTTATTGCAAAAGGCCCACACTGCAGCCTGCCTACCTTGCCATGTGCAAGCAGGGACCCTTTCTGTGTGCTCTTCCCCTGAAGCGTGTGCCAGCTCCTGATCTGCTCATGCAGCCTTTTCTCTCTGCCAGAGATGGGGACGGCCACCAGGACTCGCGAGACAACTGCCCCACGGTGCCCAACAGTTCCCAGCAGGACACCGATGGCGATGGGGTTGGAGACGAGTGTGATGATGACGACGACAATGACGGCATCCCTGATACCAAACCTCCGGGCCCCGACAACTGCCGGCTGGTCCCCAACCCTGGCCAAGAGGATACAGATGGTGAGGCAACAAAGACAGTGTTTGCCCCTGTGACTTGCGTAGCCCCAGCTTTCAATCGCACCCTAATGTCAGCTGCAAGGATGATTACCTCCATACCTGAGCCCAGGGCCCTGTCAGGAGCTATTTGGTGCTGCCCCTACAGCCTCTCCCAGCAGCTCCTGCAGTTAGTACATTTCCAGGTGTGAGCCTCCTCTGTTAACTGCATCCCCACAAGCAAGAGAGGAGGGAATGTGTTGGTATTCCCATGTAACCACCTCATAGGAGGGGTGCTGAGCTCCTCGCAGAGGGCTTATCCCTGGGGGACATAGACACAGCCTCTAACAACTCTGGCTGAGCGCTAGCTGAGTGCCAAGCACCTTGGTGGGGAGCAATGCCCTCAGCCCCTCTCCTGCATCCCTTCCAGGTGACGGCATTGGGAACCTGTGTGAAGATGACTTTGACAGTGACAGGGTGATCGACAGAATCGACGTGTGCCCAGAGAACGCGGAGGTGACGCTGACAGACTTCAGGGCTTTCCAGACTGTCGTGCTGGACCCAGAGGGTGATGCACAGATTGACCCCAACTGGATCGTCCTCAATCAGGTAGCAGACAGACTGTCAGAGGGGGGATGGGGCCCAGCTGCACCTCTTCATGGACAAGCCAGTGTGGCAGCCCCTGCTGCGCCTCTTGGCTTTACTGGCTGCCACTGCTGCCCTTGCCTCTGCCCTGAGGGCCTTCAGCTAAGGGCGTTGCAATACACAGAGCACTTGTGTCGGAAGCTGGCTGCATGTTGAGGTGCTCTGTGAACTCCCTTTGTCCTCTCTGCAGCAGACCTACTGCTGGCCCAGGTGGAGGGAGGCACGCATGCGCATCCTTTCTCCTGGACGAACAAATGCAGCCTTACAAGCCCTGGTGCTAACAGGCCATTCTTTGCATTTCACAGGGCATGGAAATCGTCCAGACCATGAACAGCGACCCCGGCCTGGCTGTAGGTGAGACACCTCGTGGCTTGTTAAAAAGGGCACGTTTCCTTTCCTAGCACAGCTGTAAAGAGTGTTTGGGAGACTTGTTCTAATGGTTCAACCGACTTCCTCCTTCAGTGAAAGGAGCTCTTGTCTCACCAGGGAACTGGGGGCAGAGGCAGAGGAGGGTTTTGCACCTGGGCTGTTCAGCAGCTTGCATGCTCTGCTAAGCTATGTGAAGGCCTGCTCTGCCCTCCAAAACGTGGCTGATGGAGCTATGGTAGTTGTGGGGTGTGAAAGGTGTTGGCCCTCCCTGCCACAGACGGCTTTGGGCAGCCTGGCTTCCATCTATCTGGGGTGAGGTCACCGTGCAGGGTGCAACACTCCCCTGCCAACACTGCTGCAGCTCAGATGAGCTGCAAGGGTCTAGTCTGAAGCCGAAGTCCAACATGGGGAGAGAGAGGGAGGGGCCCAGTGGGTCTGGCTCCCTGGAGGGAAAGCCCAGCACCAACAGGATGGATGGCGCTCCAGGGCAGTCGTGCAGGCTAGGCACTCGAGTGGTGTGTTTGCTCTCCATTGCTTAAGGTTACACTGCATTCAATGGTGTGGATTTTGAGGGCACCTTCCACGTCAACACTGCTACGGATGACGACTATGCTGGCTTTATATTCGGCTATCAGGACAGCGCCAGCTTCTACGTTGTCATGTGGAAGCAGATGGAGCAGACCTACTGGCAGGCAAACCCTTTCCGAGCAGTAGCTGAGCCTGGCATTCAGCTGAAGGTAATAAGACTGCTGCAGGGAAAGAGCC